TCTGTGACTAGCTCCATCTTTGTCATTTTTCCAGGATTTTGGGTAGGAATGTTTCATAATAAACTCTTTTAATCTCTTTGGGAAATTACACAGCCGTAAGTCTTTATTTTTGTCTGATGCTTCACCCATTATAACGTGTGCTTTATCAGTGGATCAAAATTCAAAGCAGTTCTCTGGCTTCAAAGATTCAGGCTGAAGTTGAAAGAGGCACTTATGCTGTTCCTGTCCAAGTATGCACCAGTAATAATGAAACAAAATTTATTCCAGAATTCAGCTGTAAATTGTAGTAACTTTCACAGAAACTATGATAATCCAGCAAGAGGAGGGGAAATTTTGTCATCTATAGATTTGGGGTATCACACAAAGGTTGTGAATGTTTTTTAAGAAAATTATTCTCCAATTAAAATGTCTGTAAAATGCAATATATTTTATATTTATAATTTTCTAGTAAATGGACTGATTTTTAATTTCCTTTTGTCATATGTGATGTGGGATTGCCTGTCCAAATCCAGTTTAAAGGTCAAATCATACAAAAAGTTGATCAATGTTCTCCTGCAGCTTTATAATGGGAAGGTAACGAGCTTTGATCTCTCATTATGTACTGTAAAGACTAGATTTCCACCACACCTCTTAAGGCCAGAAAGTATTCAGTTAGATTCATGGCAGGAGCCAGGGCTGACACTAAACTCCATCTGGGGATCACAATCCCAACCTTCTATTGCAAGGATATGTTAGACACCAACCAATTTAGTGCCAAGCTACATACAAAACTCAACTCTGTTATTCAACCTGCCTACATGAATAGATGCATCTACTTGTCCAGTTTAACTAGACTCTTGAGTCAAACTCATAGAAACTATAACACCAAGCCAACCTGGAGCGAACAATCTTCATCTTTATAAGAAACTTTCCATCTAGACAGGAATATTGCCTGATGCGCTTTTTACAAAGCTATTTAAAAACATCTATTTTATTCTACACAATCAGTTGTCTACTGCTCTATTTAAGAGTATGGTATTTCATTTGGTCCAAAGCCATGCAGCAAGTATAATTTTTGTTTATCTCTCTATTCACATTTCCCTTTGCTATTCTTCACTTTACTGGCTTTCTATTCTTGTGTGCAGCTCATAAAATTCTCACATTTATATTTAATGCTGTCACCCAAAATGGTGTTTCCTTACTTTCTTCTCGCATTACTCCCCATCTTCTTCTGTTCACTCCCTATCACAATCTTCTTCCTTCAATTCACTGTCCTATTACCATTTCTAACTGCACTTCTTTACCTCCTACACTGTGGAACTTTCTTCCCCTCTCTGTTTCACTGGCTTTCATCATGAGTTTAAATTCTCTCTTCAGACCTTTCTCTTTTTGTCATCTTAAGAGGCCAAAATTAACCCCCTAAAACAACTCTTCCTTATGGGTTGAAACCACTCCCTGGTTATAGAATGATCCTTGTTGTTTTCATTCCAAGTAAGATTCACAACCAGAAGGGAAGTATTTCCACCTCTGGTTCACAGTATTTCTCCATGCTTTGTCCCTTCTGGTAGGGTCTTACCCCTAATTTTATTTTTCCACACACACAATCTTGGCCATTTCCCTGGTTCCTTCCAGTCTCGTTTCCCATAACTTATAGAGTCTTCTTCATGGATTCCCTCCATGTAGTGGAACAATGACCAGGGCCAGCTCCAGGCACCAGCATTCCAAGCAGGTGCTTGGAGCAGCATTCTGCAAGGGGCGACAGTCTGTGTGTTTTTGCCACCCCGAGCCGAATTGCCGCCATGGACGGCAGGGCAGACCGTGTGCCCTTAGAGCGGCATGTGTGTTTCTGCCGCGGCAGCAATTTGGTGGCAGCTTCTATGTTCAGCTGCCCGTGGTGGCAATTCGGCGGCTTCTGTTTTCCGGATGAAGACAGAAGCTGCCGCCGAATTGCCGCCGCCGCGGAAACGGGAGTGCCACCCTAACGGCACACGGACTGCCCCCGCCGTCCACGGCGGCAATTCGGTGCGCTGCTTGGGGCGGCAAAAACAGTAGAGCCGGCCCTGACAATGACAGTTCATGCACCAAGGCCTTCCTTTTCCCAGGGGATTTGGGGCAGTGTTTTGATTGAGTAAGGAATGTAGTATTTAGGCCATTGTGCATGCATGTGGCTTAAATGCGTAGCAAATGAAACAAATTCAGTAATACTGTTCAAGAGAATAGTGAATTTATTTTGGAAAAAGAAATCAGAACAGAAGTACTGAATAGATATTATGAGTTAAGCTGATCAATTGTATCTTTAATGTATTTAGATTTGTATTTGTCAGAGTTATTTGTGCAAACCAGTCTTCTTCTGGCCTTTAATATTCTTATATAAAACCATACTCCCTATTCAAAAACATTAGTTTGGATGTTTACAACCTAAGGGTCACATTCTGCTACCATATCATTAGTAAAACTGCTGTTAAATTAGGACTTTGTGTATGATGGCAGGTTGTATTATAGCTCTAAATTTTCTGGTAACTAGAAGTGAGGTGGGTAGGGAAAGTACCATAAACCCACTTGTAGGTGAGAATTCCTGTGCTCAGGAACAGAGTTAAATTATGGGGCAGTTCTCTCTCATGTTCACTGGAAGAAGAGCCTTTTCATGCGGGAGGATATGTTTATAGAGAGATACTCATGGTTATTTTTCTTCAAAGAGAACTATTCTTTTAGGATTTGATACTGCATAGCTTTCCGGTGTTTTCTAACAGCAGCAAAGAGAAAAATTGTAAACTACACAAGGGTAAGGTATAAGTGAGGAGAGAAGCATCCAGAGACAGAACCAACATCTTTTGTATAAGGAGTGAGAAGGGTCATTAAACTGACTCCTATTTGGTTCAACTCGTGGCAGTAAGGCAGCATCGGAGAATTGACAGAGAATGCTTTTGATGCACAACCTTCCGCCATGATAACATGTATTCATTTAATAAAATGTATTACAGGCAGCTATTTCAAATACTTGAACAATACAGTATTTCATTAGGACTGTGTTCTGAAACTGATGCAATCCGAGCATGAGCTAAATAGAGCTGTGAAAAAATAATTGAATCAGAAGAGCAACAGGCAAAATGTGCCTATTCAATGATTTCGCTAAAAGACAAATAATCCCATATTTTGCTTGGAAGTAATGTGCAAATTTTATTTCTTGCTAAAAGCAGCCCCTCCCCATCTTTAAACTCTAAAGGTAAGTTCGGATATGTTTATAGTTCCACACATGTAGAAAAAATAATACTAATATGTTTACTACATGTGACAAACAGTATAGTGTGTAATAAATATATATTACACACTCAAACACACATAAATATGTATTTCCCTGTTTTAATATAAAATTAAGTGAACAATTTTCATGATATTCAAACAGCTGGCAGCAGCTGAAAAGAAAGGCAAGGTTAAACACACTGCATAGCACACTGTAAGTTCCCAGAAAGTGTTCACCAAGGGCATGTTCCAAAGCCCATTCCACCCCTTTAATGGGCTTTGGATCAGGCCCAAAGAGCTACAGACACACAGGTACTTAACCTTTGCCTTAGGATCCCTTTGCGGCTTAAATGTAAGACAGGTCCAGATGGAGGCAGCTTTTCACATGCTCACTAGTAGAAACTTATGGAAAATATACAATTTTAATTGTGGAAATTTAGTTGTCTAGGGACTTTAGGCATCTATAGCACTATGCAACAGCTGAGCGGAGTCTCTGAAGATCTCAGTTGTACCTAAATGTTGGACTTGGGTGCCTAAAGGGCTGTTAGTTGTCTAAGCCTTTTTGTGTCTCTCGCTCCAAGTGACTAGCACAGGTAACACTATAGAGAACCTTCAAAAATTCTACTG